TGAGATCTTCCTTTTCGATACTAAAATGCAACCTGTTAATGATTCTTACCGAAAACTTTATCATCAAATTTTCTCCCCTGCTGCCTTGGTGGGAGCGGGCGACTTTACCGCGTGGAATGAAAGGGGACTTACTCCTGATTTTCTATCCACTGATAACTGCGAGGAGGTGCTCCAATTAATTGCCGAAGAATGTCCAAGGGTGAGAGTGTTTCTTAGCACTAAAACAAATCTTGTTGAGATCTCACTCCTCCATATCTCACTCTCTCAATAGGGAGGGTATGGCGACGTTGGTGGAGCGTTCACGTTCACCATCGATCCGAATGCAGGTCCCTGTGGCAATGATCCTACTTCGAGCGGTGGATCTTGATCACACAATAGTTGAAGTGAAAGTAGCACTCTGTATAACATAGCTGTGTAGTAGTATTGAAATCGAACTGCTATATGCTAGGAATGCGCAGGAACATGAATTGGATACATTAGGTCACTTTCACTCGTCCGTATGTGTCTAATTAGAGAAAGGTACAGATGATGCGAGACTATGATTTAGTACGATCCGTGATAGGTACAGTACCTTTCCACTTCTCGCGCCTCATTACCGATTCAACCTTGAATGACGTCGCGCTGAGCAAAGGTTCTCAAAAGGCCTTCAAGACGCCTGTCAGTTTGACCGTTCATCAGAATGAATCCGCTTTGTCTGCTTTTCCCTGGTTTTGGCTTTCTCGGACTGAAAATTCCAGCTCTGGTTGCTGCAAATCCTCCATCAAAAAAAGATGCACCAGTTGATACAGACGAGATGCGGGACAGCCTACAGCCTCTTGCAGCGCCTATTTTCTTAATCTAGCTATACAGCTTCCCATTGCAACGAATACTCCTTTTACATGTATCCTTGAAGATTAGAAAAAGAATTCAACTATGCGTTGACCACGCGGACTCCAACTTTTGCAGGGTTTACCCCGGACCGTGGCGGTTTGGCGGTCCGTTTTTCAACGACGTCAACGTTGGATTATCAGCCGATCCTTGTTTGCTACCACCACCGCGTCGTCTAATTCCATGGCCAGCTCAGCTGAATCACCCAACTTTCTCGAGATATTTCCGCATGAAATAACCCTCAGGATACTCTCATATCTCGATGCGCTCACTCTAGTTCTATGCCAGTCGGTACGCGCTTGAATTTCCTTGCAATTCTTGTTCGTGGGCTTATATCATGGGGCTAGGTCTGTAGATTTTTGCATCAAACAATTATTGAAACGGCGGACCTTGTCTACGCAATAGAGCTGGCTATAGCTTGCCAGGAGGACGGTACAAATCCAACGTTATCTTACAAGGAAAAACTTGAACTACTGAGGAATCAACAAGAGCGGTGGACTGAGCTCAGATGGAGCAAAGACATCCGTTATCCGATGATCACCGCTGGACTCTGGGAGCTATTCGGCAACGTCCTCGCCCAAAATAGTTTGGACAGAAGCCTCACTTTCGTCCAACTTCCTTCAGCTTATCGAGACATTCCGGAGCGGCAGTGGACGGTGAGGCCTGAGAAGCCAGCAGTTTTTCGTGACTTTGGGATGGACCCTAGTCAAGACCTTCTAGTTTTGATCGAGATTCCTCGAAGGTCAGCTTGCGCCAACCTCTCCAGTTTCGCTATCTAATTTTACCCCAGGCTAGTCGGTGCAATGTCCCCATTCTATCACATACATCTCCAAACCATGTCTACGGCAACGAAGCACCCTTTAGCCGCCAATTCGGGTCTCATACCTCACCTTCGACCTTCCTTCGATCCCTCTACGGTCTATTCCATTCAAATTTCCTCTGAGTTCCTTGGAATATTATTCCATGGTGGCGCGATACTACCCAATGAGTTTGTTATATGGGAATGGAAGACCGGCACGAAAAAACTGGTTAGAGCTTCTACGCGTCGCCTCAGAGTAATTTTTTTGACGTGCTTTCCATAAATAGCATCTCCAGAGTGACGATCTACTTTCTTTCTGTTTCCTGTCGGAGAGGCACGTTCTCTTCTCTCTCATTACAGACGCCGGCGTTTTCGAACTCCTTGTCGTTGATTTTGAAGAAGAGGATAGCGAAAAGAAAGATTACTCACAAATCAAGAACGGAATCAAGTTTGCCATCCCTAGGCTCGCCCCGCTAGTGACTTCCCTCATGTTCACGATCAGATCTGACCCTTCACCGCGTTGGGCTCCCCATTCCGACCTCGAAGCTCCATTCTACGCCTCTCATAGTGATGAAAAACTCTTCGTTGCCTCTCTTTGGTTGCGCAAAGCGAACGTGCGCCACCTTACCCTAGTCTTGACCCAGAGCGCTTTTCTCTCCCATCTGGACTCTCTCGGTCCAATATTAGATCTTCCGACGATCCCTTGGGAGGACTGGGGACCGCAAGCGACGCGATTAGACGAATCGTATCGGTTAAATCCAGCGTTCGACACGTGGGCGTGTTATATCTACGGAACAAAACTCGTTCTTCCCGAACGCAGCATTCGGACGCCCGGCGAATTTACTGTGCAGTTGTTTGATTTCAATCAGCGAGCGCTCCGGAGAGCTATATCCGAAGGTGGTGAAATGGCCTACACGGCTGTAACCGAAATGGAGAAGCTGGTGTGTGATACGAGCTTGTGTGTTACGGCTCCGTCTATTTCTAGGGCGGGGGATTTGTTTAGGGATGAGGTGAGGACTTGGTTGCCTTATCGCTGGGTTGCGAGGACGGTACCGGACGCGCCGGACTTTTGCTCGTTGATGTGTAGTGAGGATGCGGTGATTGTAGTAGATGACGTGAGTCGTCGTTTTAGGGTTTTCTGTGTGCGTGATACGATGCTGACGGGGGTTTTTGCTAGTCTTCGAACGGGACGGGTTGTTACCGGGTCCTTTCGTTTTAGCTTGGATTGGTGCTGCAGGTCGGGAGCGACGTTCGCGTAACCGATACATGTCTTGTGCCAATGATGGGGTGGCTTCGTTGAAACGAAACTTGTGTAATTTGGATCTACGGAGGGAATATAAACCTCTTATTTTTCTCCGAGGCGTAGTGCATTATTCCTTCACCAACTTCATTCTGAGCTAGTATAGCCTATGGAGCGTTGCCAACCTTATCACTCAGCTGACGCTCAAGGACAGCCTCTGCTTGCTTCTTTCCGTAGTGCTTCGAGCTATTCTCGTGGGATGTTTCCTCGATTTTATAAACTCTCAGGCTCATGTTTCCCATTCTACGTCCTCTGACAATAATCTCCCATTAAGCCCCATGACATCAACGATGAAAGGTCTAGTCTACGCTGGCGTGGGTCAACCCCGAGTGGAAGAACGACCGAAACCGACTATCCTCAAACCTACTGATGCTATAGTGAAGATAGTACAAACGACGATATGCGGTAAGTGCGATCTTTACCTCTAGTAATGGTGTTTTGAGCTCAATGAATCTGACGTTTTGTTGGTTGACATAGGGACGGATTTGCATATCTTTAAAGGAGACGTTCCGTATGTTCTCTCTGTAGCTGTTTATCTCCACGTTGAATTGTTTTTGGTTCCTAGGACATGCAAGGTGGGTACGATCCTAGGTCACGAGGGGATAGCTATCGTCGAGCAAGTCGGTGAGAGCGTCAAGAACTTCAAGCCTGGCGACAAGGTCATCATCGCTTGCATTACTTCTTGCACGACTTGCTATTATTGTCGGCGGGCTATGCCTTCGCATTGCGTCGGTGAGTCTCTCTTTCCATGTTCATCCATCTAGCAAACGTCATGCTCATCGAGCTCGTTCTCGTTTGATTCTTCTTCTTCGATAGAGGGTGGATGGATGCTGGGAAATGTCGTCGACGGAACTCAAGCAGAATATACCCGTATTCCGCATGCAGATGGATCCCTTCATCATACTCCCAAGGGTGTTACCGACGAGGAACTGTTGCTGCTGAGTGATGCCGTACCGACTGGGTATGAATGTGGAGTCTTAGTATGTGTCTGATCCAGCATTTGGCTTCCCCTGGCCGCTTTTCTGAAAACGGACTTTCATTCCTCCTCCTCCTCCATTAGCAAGGCAAAGTCCAAATAGGTTCCACAGTCGCAATCGTAGGCAGCGGGCCTGTCGGTCTAGGCGCTCTCATCACCAGCCATCTCTACAATCCCTCTAAAATCATCATGATAGACCTAAGCGAAAAACGTCTAACCAGCGCTCGTTCCTTCGGTGCCACACATACTGTCATCTCCGGGCCCGACACCGTCAAGCAAGTCATGGAACTCACCAACGACAAGGGGGTAGATGTCGTCATCGAAGCCGTGGGCATGCCCAAGTCGTTTGAGCTCTGTCAGGAGCTGGTTGCGGCGGGCGGGACGATTGCGAATTTGGGCGTGCATGGGAAGAAGGTTGATTTGCATCTTGAGAAGCTTTGGGATAGGAATATATGTGAGCAGTTCGCGATCTCGCTCTAGCTTGTATGTCCTACGTACGTGCATTCACTGACTTGCTTTGCTTTGACAGGTATCACGACCCGCGTCCTCGATGCGGTGTCTACTCCGATGTTGATACAGCTCGTGGATTCGGGAAAGATTCAACTCGGTGGTCTCATCACTCATCGATTTGCTTTTGACGAGATCGTTAATGCGTATAGTACCTCGAATGCGGCAGAAGCGCACGACTGTTTGAAGGTTGCGATTCAGTTGTAGGTTGGATGTCCGAATCGCGATTTTGCTGGGAGTGAACACTGTATATATGTATTTAACTCAACTTATGTGAGGAACACCGATAACATACGGTCATTATATGTCACCTATGGATGGCCACTCAGTTGCTCGTTTTCCGTGAATTCAATCCGCCGCCCAAGTGCTCTTTGTAGGAAGCAGTGATCTAACCTCCGCTACACCCATAGAGTAGTAATAATAGCTCGCATTCAAAAGTGACATTCAGGCTATCGCGCTTGAGGATTCAATAATTTTTCTTAACTACTTTGTGGCTCATTTAGAGCCAAAAGAAAAACCGATAATGTAGCTAATTTTTTGACATTAGTGTAGTCCGCGTAACTCAGTGGTAGAGTGTGAGATTGCAACATCTGAGGTGCTGATTTTGCAATATCTCGAAGCCCCGTGTTCGAACCACGGCGCGGACTCTTCCGGGCCTGTTGTATTTTTTTTAATTTTATTTTATATAGAGTATTGTTGATTTCTGTCGACAGCATCCTGCGGCAAAATTATGGACAGTGATCTTTTCCACTTATAATGATTACATTTGAGGCGTATAACCTTTCTATCTACCTATCGGAGCCTAGAAATCCAAACAAGTAGGCCGTCACTTTTTGCATCATAAATGTAAATGAGCATTGAGAGAACTTTAGCTGCCTTTTAGAATCCGAACCAAAATTGTGGACCCAGCAACTTTCTATGACTCGGAGTATGCGCCGATTCGGGTGTGTCAACTCCTACGTCCTGTGCCGGGAGAGTTCTGATGTAATGTTGAGGGCCCTGAAAATGAACCTGGTCATAAACCCAATCATACATGTATTTAAGATATCCACACTTTACATGGAGGACTGCAAAAATTTTCCTACTATACCAACCAACGTAGTCTATCAAAGGAGCCCGAAGATCAAACCTACTTCCCTGCCACTGAAGATCCGCTCAAGACCTATTACACGCTCTAGGCTGTTGGTAGAATCACTGCTCAAAATTAATCTTCATGTGACTTAATCCTCATGTCGTCCAATATATACGCTTCACTAAAGTTCGACCCTGACGTCGTTCTTGCAGGATGGTCTAGCCTAGGACGTCTGGGCCCTGCAAGAGGCACCTTGGCACCTTGCACCTCGCTGTGAAACTCCCTAACATTCAAGATCGTTCTGTTACCAAACACACAGGACAATGCGAATGCGAAGGGAATCGGAACTTCGAAATAACTACGCTGATTTTCGTTGAATTTTTCTTGAGATCGATAAGGCATCAAAAATGAATAAGTACTTACGTTTATTACCGTGACCAGAACACAGGTTAAATAGGTGGCGAAAAGCCTGGAAAAGTGCAAGGCACCATATAAGGAGGAGATCTGCCGCTAATACTGTTTGACATACATGACAAAGTAAATGATGGAGTCCCGGATTAAGATTTTGAAGAGACGTTCCTCATATTGAAGGGCAGAGTTATTGCGTTGATGGGTCCGGAAGCCTTGGAAAGCCGCAAGAGCAAACAAGACTGCCTCAAATGCAAGTACTGGAATCCAGAGGGCATAGAAATAGGGCGGGATGAAAACGGGAAAACAGAACGAGAAACCTGGTATTAGATGTGCCGCAGCTAAAGAGAATATGAATTCAGCAGTAAGAGTTTTGAAAGGGGAGGGATGAACCTTGAATGTGCGCCAGGATATAATTGACGACCGTGACAGAGGCTGCGGTGCTGAGAATGAACGACACGATCATCAAATAAAGAACTCTTTTGTCTAGAGAGTAAAGTGCATATAACCGCATTTGCAGAATCGCTATAGATACCTGGATTCAGTTAGAAGCCAGCGAACGTCAGGCGTAGACTTCACATTCTGCTATCATACAAGTGATAGCACCGCTATATCCTTGCCAATAATAGAATCGTATACCTGTACCTCACGTAAGAGCGTGAAACGTGGTCTTCGTGTGACAATTGACATACAACTAGAGTTAAGAGTATCGTTCCATATGACTCTCAGACATGGTGAGTAATTTGAGAGCAGGTGCTCACGTCTGAAGAGCATGCGTGTTCGACGACATTCAAGCAATATTCAGCAAAGAGACTTACGTGATCTGTTAGATTCGGTGCGAGGAGAACTAAACAAAATCCAGTTCAGCAACCACACTAAAATATGAAAGAAAATACGCTACTCGCAATAGTTGTTAACCCTGCCGATCTGTCAATGATTATCCAGAAACACATTGTATAATACTTTGCTCACACTACAGCGGACAACGCGTAATAGCGGTTCTAAAAATTGGAACAGCTAAGACAACGTTCATGGCGGTAGAGTGAAATTACGAACGATGATAAATAGAAATTTCCCCAGCGATCGCGATGTTCTCTACGCGGCGGTTCAGCAATTGTTCATCAGACCTCTATGTCAGTACGCTCACCCATAGTAAGTCAATCTGAAATGTCGACTTAGTCTCATGACAAAGAACAAGTCGGTCACATACCTCCCTATCCAGCGTTAGCACTAAAGTCATCGAACGTCAGCTACCGTCCCATTTTTTAAAAATAAAAATAACGGAAAATCCTGACGATGGTCAAAAACGACAATAACTCCAGCAGAAACTGAAAGAGGTTCCGGTTAAACCTGGCCGGCAGCAGGGAAGAAGATTAGGACTTGCGACTTGAATATCTGGAAGCGTACGCAGCGTGAACAGCTTCACGAAAAAATTCATAGGTGGAAGACATTTATCGTGTCGTTACGCAAGAACGAGTAAGGATGGGGGTTAGTCTTACTTTCCGGCAGACACAAGTCCCCCTCTGTCTTCTTATTATGAACCAGTAAGGAACGCAGCTATCCCTAATCTGGGACAGAAAAAATCGGCAGGTCGACTGCCATAAGTCGGCACTTTCCTACGCCCGATCCAGAAGTCAATAGTCAGGGCAAAAAAATGCAACTCGTCTGGCTGCGGCGAGTTTTGAAATCTGCTGTCATTGAAATGTAAGAACTGCTCGGTACGCATAACGAAATCTGCTTCAGAGAATCCATTCGTTCAAGATGAAACTCTGTGTTCGACATGCTAACATCTGATCTATTTTTGTGAATTCTGTATTTTTGGACATTGAAACTATGAGACAACGTCCCAGAAAGAACATGCAGAACAGTTTGTTCCTCGCCTGAAACAGGCAAATAGATAAATAATATCAAAGGAAAGCAGCCGCTGAGCAGGGTAAGACGGAAACAAGCAAACAGGTAAACAACATACCCGGGCCAGCTGTGTAATGAGGGAAGGTAACTGCAGAAATGGATAACGCCAGAATCCCACCCAAGCGGTCTCACAAACCCACTAAAGATGGTAGGCATATAACAAGCCTCGGTTTGACTAGTAGCTATTCCGGACTTTTGATGACGTAACAAATTCCATTTCGAAAATGTCTCCAGTCGATCTATTACTACTATCTGTGTTCTCCGAGTCAAAGGTGAACGCTTGCGGACTGTTAGTTCCTAGCGCCTTCCCTACAGGAGTGTCAGTTGTGGGTCGCCTAGGTCCGGAAGCCACCGCCATGGTCTGATGTGCGTCTCTGTGAGCCTCCCTAACGTTCAAGATTGTTCTGTTTCCAAAGGTGCAGGACAGTGCGAGCGAGAACGGTATAGGTACTTCGAAAAAATTTACCTGGTTGTTATATTTAGTAAGGTGTTGAGGAAGAATAAGAAGTTCACTGTACGTTTATCACCATGACCAAGAGGCATGCTAAGTAGGTGACAAGGACGCTGTAAGAGTGGAAAGCAAGATTTAAGCGACGATATCTAGAGTAATTCTTGCCCAGACCTACACGCCATAGTAAATAATAGAATCTCTAATCAAAATTTTGACGAGTCGTTCCTCGGAGCGGAAGGCAAAGCCATCGAGTCGATAGTTCAGATAACCTTGGAATGCTGCAAGAACGAATAGGACCGTCTCGAACGCAAGGATTGGAATCCAAAGAGCATAGAAATACCGAGGAATGTTGATGGGGAAGCAGAACGGGAAACCAGGTATCAGATGGGAGGCGGCTGAAAGGGACGAGAGTTCAGCGGCAAGAGCAAAGATAGGGTCAGGAGAAGACCGGACTTTGAATATTTGCCAAAACAAAGTTAACGACTGCGATAGAGGTTGCGGAGCTGAGGATGAAACACCCAATCATTAAGTAAAGAATTTTTCGATTTAACGAGTATAGCGCGTATAGACGCATTTGCAGGATCGCTATGCTTAGGGAGTTAAAATCAGGCATCATAAACACTAGACCTAAACCTTACCTTCTGCTATCATACAAGCGATAACGCCACTATATCCTTGCCAGTAATAGAATCGCAAACCTGTACCTCATGTCAGAGCAAGAAGAATATTCATGCAGAGTCCACGTACAGCTAGAATCATGGCGCATCGAGTGAGGTGTTTGTCAACCGCTCGAGCAATGCCAGCATTGAAACTCACGTCTAAGTAGAGTGGCGTCAGAAGGGATCTAGCCACACCAGGAATAGACTTACTTCATCTGATAGATTCGGCGAAAGAAGGACTGTACAGAACCGCTGTCAACGATCCAATTACAATGCAAAGGAAGAGAAAAAACTCACAGTAGTTATTGACCCTTTCAAATTGTGGAAGAATGCATATCATAAGACGACCATCCTCAAAAAGTGGCTATAACCTTGACTTACAAGACCGCGGACAGGGAATAATAGCGATTCTAAAGATTTGTTCAAGTTTATTTGATATCCTTGCCGACGGAATCAATAAAAAGCATGCTCACGATGAAGAACAGAAATTTCCCAAGCGACCATGAACTTTTCTACCCAGCGGCTCAGCACTAGGAACTAATTCACTGCGGAATTATGCTCACCCAAACCAGATCAATCTGGAGCATTAAATCAGCGCTAGGGTAACAAGAAAAAATAAAAGTGCATACCTCTCTATCTAGTGTGAGCACTAAAGTCATCAAGTGTAAGTGCGTTTTGCAATTTGAGAAAAGGATTGAAATATTCTGACGATGGTCAAAGCTGATAATAACACCGGCAGCCACTGGAAAAGTTATTACACTGAATGAAGCAACAGAAGAGCTTCGGACGACTTACAACTGGAATATCTGGAAACATAGGCAGCATGAACAGCCTCATGAAAAAGAGCAATAATGAATGACATATCAGCAAGGAGGGACGGGGAGGAATAGTAAGCCCAACGGTATGCTGTCGCTTGTCGACAGATGGAGATTGAGATAGCGGCAACATTCCTTCTTATTACTTTTAAACTCTTGAACGGACAAGGTTTCAACCAATTCGACTGTGTTTTCTTTGATGACCGGTGGCGATGCATTGGTTTACGAATATGCCATCTCTGACACGAGAATGATAGGTGCTATGATAGGTGCTATAATATGGGATTTATTTGCTCATCCTAGCTCAGTCATCACAGTGAAACGTTGTTAG